CATATACGGAAACTTGTTGGGACATGCATACCTCTAAGCCAACCTCCTCTGCCGTTGTTAGGAAGGGGGGAAGATTTGTTTTTGGTCTTCTAGACGACTCTTCCCGTTTTTTCTTACAGGCGCTCCACTTCGCACTTTTGCACTCACTTTCGAGCGCCAAAATACCTAAGCTCGATCCCGCCCCGTGCCTTTAAGCCTTTATGCGACATTCGACTGGAAACAGTGGCCAATGATAGTATATCGTGAAACTTTTTAGAGACACTCACCACTGTAGCACAAACGATCATTTTATCTCGTTCTTAGGATGTGGACTACGCGTGATTTTTATTCGGAAAGTCTCTTTCGGCTCAATTATACCAAACACTGGTCGGAACCTTCAAAAAAATTTTAAATAAGGATAATTATTTTGGGAAAGGAGTGGGAATGTATACTCACAAGAAGAGTCTATTGTCGGTACATTGAACCTTGAAGGCGATTCGAACCGGCATCGAACTTGTAATGCGCAAACTCTGTTGGTAAGCAAATGGGTAGTTTAGCTATATGCCTAGATGGTATCAGCGGAGGTCGAGAATTACTCTGGTCAATCAACCGCGTTATATGAAGATTTCGTTTTGAAACGGTTTATAATTCAGAATAGGTAATCTGAATTATCTATGGCCGACGATTATTTGAATTCATGATCAAGGTCAGCTAAGTTTCCTATAAGGCACAGAGCCTAGAGTGATGATTCTGGTAGAAAGCCAAATACTTGATAAGAACAAAACTCATTTTATGTCTACTTCATCGCGTTTCATCGTATCAATATTCTTCCCAAGGTTTTTTGTGTTCGTTTTATAGGCCATAAATCAACATAAACAAACATCAGAACCACATGGCTTGGCATGAGCCAAATATTCTTCAGCTTAACAAAGGTTATCCGGATCACACGAAAATATCTATTCTGTTCATCCCTAAGGTTATCCGGACACACGAAAATATCCGTTCAGTTCATTCCTCATTTTCTCTTCATTAACACGAACATGTAGATAAAAAAGAATATTAGAAGTGAGTACAAAACCTACTCGTGTGGCAAGATATGTTTTTACTGAAACAACCACGTCCAAAATAATTTTGAAACCACTAAAGGGAAAGTAAGTAAAATTTGCCTTTTCATGGCCTAACACGTCATTTTGGTCAACTTCCATTACTGTAACTCCTGATAAGCTAGACAGATCGAACATTATTGAAAACATTTCATCGCATCTAAGTATTGCGTATTTACAGCTCAAAATCCATGGATTTGGTGTGCGGCGCAAAATCGCTCTGGTCCCACGAGGTGCAAAAACCCAAAACGCGCGATGTCGTCAAGGTGTTAAAGAAATGCGATTATGGCCACGGGGTACTTCTACGCTAACATCATTAGCATCAATATCATTCGACCGCTAAATTACCCTGACATTCAACGCATGGTGGTTGTTTACATACACCACTTTAGCTCTGCACTCTATCGCGCGTATCAAACAGTGAGCTTCAGCAAAAAGGGGCTATAGAGAGGTCGTTGAAGGCATTTTCCGATGCAACTTAGGGTTGCTTCTTTAGCGGTTTAGCGGTGGACCTAGTGTTCCACAGACCATTCAACTTCAACGAAGCCTACCGTGTCACGTGTGCGGTAGCGTGCAGACACGGTAGGGTTTGTTGAAAACTGGTATAATAAGATTGAAGAAACAGCCGTCTACCTGATCTCCTCCAACTTCACCATTGAATGCCAGCTTCACTGCACTAAACTTCAAGCACAGGGCTGAAATAGTGGTATGAATTAGCATATTCAGCGGTGGAGGAAATTTCTTTTGCAGTAATGTTAGGTCAAGATGTATATGAGAAAGGGAGCGGTTTCTTGAGCGCCATTCAAATAACCAGAATGAACAACTGCGAATGCTCCGGTTACGTGTACCTAGGTCTGGAAATTAACACAGTGAAGGAGCAGGCTGCAGGGATGACCAGGAGGGAGCGAGCGTCACGGGCAGCATTCAGAGCAAACATTGGTACATCCCATCCCACATTTTCGACGCAGTATTTCCTGAACCAATATGCGTAGTTCTAGACTCTGCTCAGGCAGAGTAAGCATGAGGTCAGTATCATCCAACGCAATGTGGAGAGGCTGAGTTGGAAATTTTTCATGGCAACTCAACCAACCACGAGCATCAAGGACACTGCACTTCACGACAAGGAATGGATTGTCGGAATACGTCATTCGATAGAGTGATGTTGTGAGACTACATGAAGAGATACGACAGATCGTCTCAGGGCGTCAATTGTACGCCTTAGACGACCGCAGGCCCGATCACCAGACTTCTTCACGACAGCTCTGAAAGGGACATTATGCTGCTCTTCCCCAAATAAACGCGCTGGCGTGTTGCGGCGCGGGACCTGAACGACTGGAAACATTACCGCCGCCCTCCTCAGGAAATTGATGAACAGCGGGCGTGACAGGTGATACAGGTGATCTGATGGTCTCCGGAAAAGGTCATGAAGATTGTGCACGGAAAAATCCCTGCAGAAAAAAACCAACCTTTTTCAGGAGCGCACGGCGCGTAATAAGCCAAGATGTTTTCCCCAGAGTCGACAACCTTAATAGCATTTTCGTGTGCAATAGGTCTCTTCAAGTACCCAATAGAAACATTCTAGTACTAATCGATGATGAGCTCATTTTGTATGAAAAACACTGGTCTCGGAAACCAGCTCATGAGAACAAAGATTGGTTCTGCGATGTAGTGATAGTCTGGCAGTAGTGACAGCATGTTCATATTATAGTACACGTACATTTCACTTGCACTGCAAAATGCGAGCAGGGACGGCGCATTGCCAAGGTGCGCCCCCTTACGCCTGAGCTATCAATTCTAGCGGCGCATTTAGTGTTTCGCAAAGTTGGTCATTTCTATGAGTGAGCAAATACGTGGCAGGCACGAAAAGGAGTGCGAAATTGGTGCTCGTGAAGAAGACCTGTGACTATGCATCCCCAACCTCATACCTATAAGTTGTGGCCGTGTGTGCAGGCGTTGCACCGTCTACTGGTCACAAAATTTAGCCTAAGAAATCACCTGAAACGTCTAGCTCAGATTTGGGATGAATGAGACATCGACTTGTATCTGAGGGGCACCCACAACTTAGCGGATCCTGGTGGGCGATAGTTGTACCGAAACTGTGCCCATCAAAAATACATAATATCGCGCCTGCACGTCCCATGAATTGAAATGATCACTGCAAGCGGAGGTTTCTCTCATGATTCGTCATCATACCCTCCACGTCTGGTTTCAGGACCATGGCAACCGAAACAGAGGCTAAGGATTAGCGATGGAGCTGCAAGAGCTAGTGATTACCTAAGGTTGATATGAGTTGAGTTTAGCGTGACACGAAAATACTTCGATAAGCTTCGCTTGTTACAAAAGGAGGAGTCGATGGGTCGATGGGAGGAACAGGGGGATACGAGCATCGGCAAGGACGCTAAATGACCGCCTGCACCTCACATCGACCAACGCCACCCTCGAGGCATGCGTCTTCCCAGCCTCTGCCATGGAAGAGCTACTATCAGTAGCAAATGACTATTCCTGGAAAATACTCTGAGAGGCCATCACATACAAAACTGATTGTCAGTCTGCCCTTAGGGTAATTTTACCCACTGTTAAGCGATGGACAAACGCTCGTATAATTGGGGCATGCATTGAAATGAGCTGAGCCATAATCAAACACTGGTCCATCTTTCGAGGCCCCCATCTAATGTGCGCGTGTAAGTACATTTTGTTGTCACTACTGTTATACATTACTATGTATCTCCCATTCTGAATCTTGGAAAACTGTTTGGACAATACCTGAGTAATTGAAATCTTGCTGTGTGGAACAAATGGACTCTTGAAAAGTTCGTCGAGGTACTGTTCCTCTTTCACAGTCTGGAAACATTCACTAAAGGAAAATTGATTGACATTGAGATTGAGGAGATTGAATGAATGAGGAACGAGTGGGGAGAAAAAGGGAATTAACGGTGTCCCCCAAGAGGCCTGTCGCGCGGCGGAAGAGACGCAGACGCGGCAAAGGACGAGTCGCAGCGCATACTGTAGCGGTTAGGCGTCAGGTTAAATAGAGTGTACCATACTACGTCTCATATCGCACAGCACGCGCTGCGACTCGTCCTTTGCCGCATCTGCGTCTTCCTTCGCCGCGCGACGGGCCTCTTAAGGGGCACCCAAAGGCGAATGACAACTGCAAAAACAAAATGGCGGTGAAACTCGGGTTCGGGCGGGGACCACGCGATGGCGCGGCGATCTTTTCGTCTTCCCCTTCAGGGGCCGTAAGGTATGCTTCCCCGAATGGTTGCGGGGACGAAAGTCCCTTTAAATTTTTTGTTTTGAACGATACTGTTTCTTTATTTTCAATGCATGCTTACTTTAAGCTACACATATATTAAATGTAGGCCCTTTATCAGGACAATCCCAGTTGGGACTACAGAGAAAATTTAAAGGAACTTTCGTCCCCTAACCCTTCGGGGAAGCATACCTTACGGCCCCAGAGCTTACGATTAGTCCATGAGGAACAGTTTCTCTTTCGTCACTATGTGGCTGTTTCAGAATACGCGCCATCGGTGACAAAGCCTTGGTAGAGCAGACGAAAACAGCGATGCGTCCATCGCGTGGCCCCCCCCCCCAAACTTAAGTTTCACCAAAATGCCTAATACATATCACCATACCAATCTATGATTGATCAGGACTCCCTTAGCATTCAGCAGTTCGTATTCACTACTAGAGTAGCTACTCACCGGTATAGCCATTACGATAATTTTGTCAGGTTTTATCGGTGCGTGTGTGCGATGAATCTTTATTCTGAGGGTTTCTGTCGGTTGGACTGTGCTCAACGGAGGTGTTATTCTAAACGTACACATTTACTTCACAAAAGTGTTGACGTATGTGTGCGATAGAAACACACACCTGTACAGTGCATTATCAGAGCATTTTACTTTAATAGCATGAATTGTGTCCGTATTGTTGTGGATCATAAGATGCTGGAATACAGAAGGAAGTGAATTTTAGTTATGTTCTCACTGTTTTGGAATCTTTCCCACTGGCCCCTTAAAAAAACGGGGGCAGTGGGAAACCTTTTCATATTA